TATACAACAGTTCAATAAATAAGAAGTTAATATTGTGTTATTTTAGACACAATGTTATCTGTTTTGCTCAATTTTGCCAACGAAAATATAAAGACAAAGCAGAACTGTTCGTCTCCGAGCAACACGCAGAGGCATTTCATTTCTTAATCCACGTTTTGAACGAACTGGGTGAACCATTAGGCTCGTTGGATTTGAATCGGCGCTGCACAGACATCAAAAGTAACGCGAGAGCGATTCAAAAGCATGCAGAGCCATCTGAGGCAAGTTCAAGCTCATACCGGTGCGCAACGTTTTGCTACGGTTTCCGGTTTTTCCTGGAAACGGTGTGCAACGGGGTTTGAGATACGTTTTCTCTTGTTTGGTGGGTGTGTCAAACATGTCAGCCCAATCAGCAGCAACATGTACATAAACCAAGCGGTATTAAAGAGACAGCTCGCACAATGTAATTAACATCAAAATAAATTCACAAGAGCAAGTATATTGTTTGCACATGTTTGTTTACATTAAAGGCAAACTAAGTGAAATAATAAGAGCACAAGTATAGATCTGGAACTTCTTTAAGTCTGTCTAAATATAATTTAGTAATTGTAATGTCTTCTGGTCCATATCCTTTCCTTAGGAAGGTGTGCTAGACTCTGATTAATGTAACATAAAAATACTACACATATTTATATATTTTGCTATTGTATTATGGAGTGACACTTTCATAAACTTTTCTATACCCCTCTGATTATATAATGATAAGCCTAATACTCACAATAAAAATAATAAGGTCATATAGATCATAACACAGTCTCGGAGGTAAGAAGTGGATTATCCTTCACCTGAAATGTTTGTCTTTTCATCCTGAAATGCGAGGCAAATGTTGGATCACAATAATTAGGAACCACAGTTTCCACAAATCACTTCATTTGATTGGGATGTTCTCTTTTATTCTGGACGGTAAGGGCAGTGACTGTAACATCGAGCGTATTTTGCAGTATAAGGTGCGTTCACACCTGTAGATCGATTGCTTTGTTCCGAAACAGGGATTAAAATGATTACAATGTTGCTTTTTATTTTTGGTGCGGTTCGCTTTCACACGGCAAAGTTTCTAAACAGACCACATTTGTTAATACAAGTCACGCGCGAGTAAACTGTTCTCTCATTGGTCAAAGTTCCATGGTTTATTTTCCAGGATTCCACTTAGCTGTCACAGCGGTCATCCGTCAGCTTTGCGGGCTTATTGTTGTTGTTGTTTTGTTTTTTTGTAGCTGTCGTTATATTAATTTATCATTTTGAGCAGGAGTCCAGGATTCAACGGGAAAACATTTAAAAAATGCACATACTAGGAAGAAGAGCAATAAGACGGCATTATAAAATAAAAATGTGCGCTTTAATTTTTGAATGGCGAAGACGTGCTCACCCACAGACATTCATAGGTTCATTTTGAGGTATTAGCAAAACAACAAAGCTAATGCTTTTCACGGAACTTACGTAATTACCCATTATTCATCAGAACAGGGTGTTCAATGCACCACAATTTCCATTTAAAAAACGTTTTGCACCGTTTTGTCGGGCTGAAAGCAGCCCTGCTCACGCGGTACTTTGATGTCATACACCGATCGATCTGATGGTGATGATCCTCTTCAAGTCGAACAAGCCTAATGATTCAATGGACCATACATAAAGAGAACCATTAGGCTTATCCGAGATGCATCGCTGCGCAGAACGATCGGTGTATGACATCAAAGTACCGCGAGAGCCATAATAGAGCAGACGACTCTTTATGCTTTTCTCTCGCGGTACTTTGATGTCATACACCGATCGTTCTGCGCAGCGCCGATGCTAAACAGGTCTATTTACTTCACTCCTGAATGAATCAGCCATTTGAATGAATCAAATAAATTAATAAATGACTCGATGACTTAATCATTAAGAAAATTACCACCACCTACTGGCAGTTTTAATTTATTATTTAGAGTATCAATTCATTAAAGAAATAGTTCATATTTCCATAGTAATAATAATGAAAAAATTATTAAAAGTATAGTTCACCCACCCAGAAATTAAAATCTTGTCATCATTCACTTACCTTATGGTCCAAAAGAGTATATGTAATACATTTTATGTTGAATCAAACTAAATATTTCTTGCTGAAACTACTCTTTGTAATATGTGTTTGATGCTTTACACAACAATTAGTTTAAATTATATTTTGGGAATAATTTCTCAGCCAAGTTTGATGTGCGATTAATTTGCGATTAATTAGATTAATTATTCGCCACATCATGTAATTGATTAGATAAAAATGTTTAATCGCTTATCAGCCCTAGTTGTAACAGCAAGACTCAGGGTTAGTTGTAACGTTATAACTTACTACAATTTTTAAAAATATTTTTATTTCTATGTTTACTTTGAATTTCAGTATGCTTTGTCTTTGAAGAGAAAGACAAACCGATGGGTGTTCAAGTTCAATTTTATTATGGCCAATTACTATGACTGCCATGAACAAACATGCTTAAACACACAAACACATGCAAGTTATTCAGTTTTAATATCACGATGCTGATGTAACACAAACTATAGTGTTCAATTGTTGAAGTTGGTGCACATTTGCTCCTTTTATTCAGTTTTTTATTCACACAAACACACACCAATTATGTTGAAAAGTCAGTGTTGAATTAAAAGCTTTCAAAATCCTTTTTTTGTTGTTGTCATAATCCTTGTTGCATAATGTTACATCTCACCCCGGTGGATATCATAATGTTACATCTTACCCCAGGGTATGTTACAACTAACCTGGACTATGGGGTGAAATGTAACATTTCACTCCTTGTGTTTAAAACTAAACCATGCATTTTCTGTGTGTGCTGTAAAGATAACAGCTACGTCATTTAAGCAGACACTCTGAACTAGTTTGAATCACATTTTGAACGCACTGGCTTAAAAGAACTCCAAGATAGAGACAGCAGACAGAAATGTCCAAAAAAAATTTTTATCCATGTTTGTTCACAGCCCTGTTCATTCACCAGTCACTGCATCATTGTGTTAATGAGCACTGATTTATAAACAGCTGTTGACAGACGCTCTTGTCCCAGATAACAATTTTTAGTTTAACATTTTCAGAACATTCTGTTTAGGTTACGAGAGCGTTAAAATGGTCAGTTTTCTTAATATTAATGAAACGTTTTAATTGTGGTGTTTCTGAAACATTCTTTCAAATTATTTTTTTTTAACAACTCATTCTTCACAGCAAAATTCTTAGTTTTAAATGAACTCTGCTCAGTGTTTATGAGTCCATAAGTGTGTTAAAATCAGGGGTCTTCCACTCTGTCCTTCAGAGTAAAGCAAGAAGGGAAACAGGACAACTAATGGACTTCCAGTCACAGAAGAAATCAACTGAAATAAAAAAGACATTTAATCTCTCAAGATCTCAGCAGAGGAGGATTAAACGGCATTACCAGCTTCACTTATTACTAACCAGATTGACTTTATTTCGGTCAGACAGAAGTTCTTATTGAGAATTAACAGAATTCTAGGTTTTTAAGTCACCATGGTAATCAGTGTTTGCTTTTATACTGGAAGAACGTTCGTTTTTAACTTTGAGAGAACCTTGCCCAAAGTTATGAGAACGTTACCTATTAGCTGGGCTTCCGCTTATGAGAACCCCGGAAACGTGAAAGGGGTCCGAAAACAAACTGAAAGTATAAAGCCGAGACCCAAATCTTACAAAACGAAAATACACATTTCTTAAAAACGGTCATATATCACACTTAACGGTAAGTTCAGTTATCAGCTTCTGATATTATGTTGTATGATTTTGCATCGTATTCGTGTCGTTACCATACTGAACGCGATCTTTAAACCAAACGGTTTAGATTTAGTGAGACGTGCAATGCTGCGAAGCTCATCTTCAGGTTTATAATAATATCACATTTTAGGGATTCCTCTTTTAGTTAAGACTATGAAATGTGAAATACACAAAGACCTGTTAAAATTAAATACAAAATGTGACCACTTTCTATAAGTCAGGGGGTCGATTTGCAGGCGTTCAGGTTAAATTATAATTTTTGATTATGACAGCCTATAGCCTACTTTTTGTCTTTTGCTAAAAAGTCTACATATTCCTATTCTGTCAAGATAAATAGGCTAACACGTTAAACCATGTAAGATATTTGTCTACCGTACACTCTTAAAAATAAAGGTGCTTCAAAAGGTTCTTCAAGCGATGCCATAGAAGAACCATTTTTGGTTCCACAAAGAACCATTCAGTCAAAGGTTCTTTAAAGAACCATCTCTTTCTTACCTTTTTATAATCTGAAGAACCTTCTTTCGCCCCAAAGAACCTTTTGTGAAACAGACAGGTTCTTCAGATGTTAAAGGTTCCTTATGGAACCATTTAGACAAAAAGGTTCTTCTATGGCATCGTGAAGCACCTTTATTTTTAAGAGTGTATGTGATAATGAAAAAAAAAAAAGTATGGACATTTTTTTGGAGGGCCGAAAAATTAAATAGGTTATATTGTTGTGTAACCGTGCAGTATTTCCATGCTCAATATTTGTAGTAATTTGTCAATTTCAGAAACGATCAAATTATGATATTGTGATGAATATGCAGTTGCTTGGAGTCGTTGGTGAATTCATTTTAATATTTTAATATTTTTGATCATGCTGAAGGATTCATTATTTATTATTATAATCATTATTTAAATGTCTTATTTGCACAGCAAAACCATCGGTGTTGCTCACAGTCTACATGAAAGATTCAATGTCGTCTTTTATTTTCATATGATTTTATCTAAGGCTGTGCAGGAAGTCAGTTGTGGTTGTTGTGTTTCTCCTCGTCTCATTTTCCCCCAAACACTTCTTTGCTTCAGTGATTCTGCTCAGAACAGCTGGTGTTCATCGCTAATACTCAATCATTTATTTAATTAACTCCAGCAGTGGATTTTGCTGTGTGGCTCCTGAATTTGTTCTTTACCACAACTCTTGTCTTGATTAATTAATTTGCGTGTGTGTGTTAGACGTTAATCAGCTCCGGTGGCCGTGTCGGAGCCGTAACGCACCGCAGACATGTGCAGTGTAAATAAGGGGTAAGAGATTCATTCATGATACAGTGTAGGTAGCTTCACTGATTATAACGGGAGTGTTTTTAAAGAGCATATCATACTCGCGTTCGACAGTGTCTTTACTACTGCCCTGTCCAAATACCCACACTTGCAGTCTTGGCCACTTGAGAGCACGTGCGTGCGACAGGAAGTATGCGCAAGACTGTCCCAGGTCTTAAAAATGCCAAAGCACAAGGCTAGAAGGGATACAGCAAAAACTACTGGGCATGCGCACATCAATATAGCATAATTTTTCTCACACTGTACAACAATAATTACTATTTTTGCATTATTGTAAGGGGTAGGTTTAGGGTTGGGGTAGGTGTAGACGTTAATAAAACACAATCTAATAGGTCGAAAATTTAATTTATTGTTAGCTTCCGGTTTTTGCTGTATCCCTTCTAGCCACAACCAAAGCGCAGTGCCCTTAAAGGTGGGGTAAGTGATTTCTGGTAGCCAATGTTGACACTTGAAATCACCAAAACAAACACGCCCCTACCCCAAAAGGTTCTCGCCCCTATTTTGATCGCTCCACCCCACACATACGTACACAACCCAGGCAACGATTAGTTCTGTGAAACAAAGCAAAACCAATGTTACACCGTGTCTACACCGGATGCTGTCCACACCATAGATATATATACATATCTATGGTCTACACTGGATGTAGCAACATGGTGACGTAGCAAGCGCAGCGGAGCGAGCGTTTTCAATTATTTCCTATGGAAGTAGAGCTTAAACGCTCACGCGGTGCATTATGGGATTCAAAGCGGCATAGGGAAAGCGTTGAGAACGGCTGAGAGCATCTAAAACAATTTGTATATGTACAACACAATGTAGCTGGGCGCCGCCGGTGTGCCTACACTCATAGAAAACAATGTGTTCGAATTTTAAAGACGTGGCGCGACGCTGCGCTTCTCGTCCGGTGTGCGATCGCTTTTAGTGTATCCCATTATGTTCTGGAAATAAATCATGAGACTTTTTGCTGAGATCTCGCGAGAGGTCATGGAAAACTTTAAGTTAAAAAAAATTATAATTAGATGCATATCATTTGGTAGTAAAACAAAGTGTTGCACGTTTTATTGGTGCAAAGATGAGTATATTTATTTTGTACAATATTTGCAACTGCTTTTTGTCACTTAATTAGAAGCACCACAGATTAAATTGTCATCTGTTATAGGGACTAGCTACTCAACAGACATTTTAGACATTTATTTTAAAATGCAAATTATTGGAAATAAAAATAAAGCTCTGTAAACACTTGCATTTTTACAACACTATAAGTGTGTCCCATCAGGTGATAAAGTTCTACACACACTTGGGGTCTTCATGCTCACTTGAACACTTGGGCCAAATACAGGAAATACTTCATAGAAGTAGTCAAGTGATCAAGTGCAAAGACCACAAGTGTGGGTATTTGGACAAGGAAATACATTTCTGGTAGATAGTCTATAGTCTTTGACAATATCCTTTCTATGACTCAGCGCCAAAATAAAAGACCTTAATAAAACATGCAAAAATATTATACAATAATGCCAAATCAGGTTCATGCTTTTTGAACTTTACAGGGATGCTTGAATGTTAACACGAATGACAGATAACATTGTGCTTGTGTACCATACACTTTTATCATGACATGAGATATAATTTTTGACATGCATCTTTGTAAATACCTCAGAGTCTTTAATGTTTGCCTCAAGAATATTCCTGCTGACAGATGGGCTGAGATTTTGTTATGTAAAGCAGGCCTCTCTTCTTACAGAGATCTCTGTGGGACTGGGACACGAGCCACTTTATTCACATTTTTATAGAGGAGCAGTAACAAAGAAAATGGTGAGGAAATGAATTACAGTTATATTTACTACATTATACTGGTTTAAAATAAATGTATCCTAAATTGAAGTTTTTCTTATTTGACCTGTAATAAGACCATTCATTATCAGTCAAGTGCTTCGAAAAATGTCATACTCAGCAACATTTCCTAACCAAATACCACATTCTTTTGTTTAGTTACTATACTATAACAGAATTAACACAAAAATTACAGGGATGTAAATAAATATGCATTTAATTTTTGTTAGTATAAGAATGCATTGGTCATTAAAACAAAGTTATTCAATAAGCAAAGAGAAATGCTAATGAATTAATAGAAATTGCTTTAAAAGGCATAGTTAGAGACTCATGTCACCTGTGATCTCTGCTTACCACATCAGGGAATATTTAACTCTACAGTTGAGGTGAATGGTTGTAGACGATGCAGGCCGGTTTCACACAGTGGATCACATGGATCATTCAGGTCAGTGTTTTTTTTATCAGTGGGGTTATGTATGCACTTATTTTTTTAAGTTCTGAAATGTGCGTAATTTAGTTACTAAGTTTCAATGTCGTGAGCTCAATTAATACTTCTGACATGACCCATTTGTGTTTGACAGAGTGGAAAACAATGGCATCCCTACTTACTTGGTAAGAGTGAAACATCTCAAAAGCCATTTCTTTACAAACTATGAAGTCCAAATGAACTAAAAGGAAATATTTAGCTCTACAGCAAAACAAAAATGTGAAATTACACACATTAAATAAAACATTTTAAAAGATTAAATATTATCAAAATAAACAATAACAAATTGAATCAAAAATCAATGCAGCGGCTATTTGCACTAAGAGTAAATAGCGATAAATTCCATTTACACTATAAAATAGTAGGATTTTCTGCTGTTTATACTACTTATTGCAAATAGTGGCAATTATCTGCACCTCAGTATTGTAATAAATTATAAAACAGTATGCAATAATAACATATTGAGTGTAAATTATCATTTTAATTCAAATAAAAAAATAGATGCCACCTTATTGGGACAATAAAACCCTCCCTACACCTACCATACCCGATACTTTATTTTCAACTTTTCGATTATTTCCTTCATTTTTATTGAAAATAAATGCCTTTCCGATGCGATATGTGATTTGAAAAGGGAGAAAAAAAAAAGTTTGGCAAAAGGCGGATTCGACTTCAGGTCGATCGCGTCAAAGTGATAAGAGCACACGCTTTACCATCTACACCTCTGAAGCTTGTCAATGGCCTTTTGTAGTGTTGACTAGCCCAATCACACGTAGGTGGGCGGAGTTAGTGTGAATAGCTTCTGCCAACAAGGCGGGCTAAGTGCAAATAGCACTTAGTGTAAATATAGACACTCCGAAAATCAACAGTGATATACGTCATCAGCTGGTGTAACACCCCTGTGGACTGTTTATTGTGGTTTCTTCCCCTTTTGTTGGTTTAGCCCGTTCAATCATTAGTTAATCATCCTCATTGTGCTCACCTGTCTGCCCCTCGTTATCTGCCCTATAAGTTCCTGTCTCTTGTATTCTAGTATTGTCGGTTATTGTGAATGTTACCCTGAGTGTGTGTGTGTGTCTGATCTACCCGTATCTGCCTTGTTGTCTCTCCATTAAATATCCTTATTTTGAATCCTTGTCGTCCTCGTCATCCTGCCTGCCTACACACACCTTGACCGTGACCGCTGGAGCATTCCAAATTTCAACATTTTCAAAGGCACACTCCTGCTTTTTCTGGAGGCGAAGTCATCAATGAGCTCATCGTATGATAATTAAAACATTAATTAACGTTAAGAAACATTTCACAGGACTATGAACGTACCTGAAAGGGATGCACGGACTTCATCTTGGACTTTTTTACTTTTTCTTTTCTCAGGGCTTGACTGCTGATGTCTTTATTCCGGGCATAGTTGTCCATCATTTATGATAATTTGCAGTCAGCCGCAAACATGAGTTGAGGGCGGGTGCGGGTGCGGGTGCGGGAATGGTGCATCATGTGTGCTTAGCATACTGACTACTGCATTCACCGTAAAATGCACACTCCTGCTTTTTCTGGAGGCGAAGTCATCAATGAGCTCATCGTATGATAATTAAAACATTAATTAACGTTAAGAAACATTTCACAGGACTATGAACGTACCTGAAAGGGATGCACGGACTTCATCTTGGACTTTTTTCTTTTCTCAGGGCTTGACTGCTGATGTCTTTATTCCGGCCATAGTTGTCCATCATTTATGATAATTTGCAGTCAGCCGCAAACATGAGTTGAGGGCGGGTGCGGGAATGGTGCGTCATGTGTGCTTAGCATACTGACTACTGCATTCACCGTAAAATGCATTTTTTTTTATAATTATGTATATATGTTCATGTTTATATTTGTATTTATGTATATGCATATGTTAATATTAATATAGAACTTTTTTTGGGAGCAACTGGGATGTTGTGCCCTCCCTTCGGAGTAGGTGCCCTACGCAAACTGCTTACTCTGCGTACAAGGAGCTAATCTCAATAAAACCAGAAGGTTTCAGTCAGCAGGTTTAAAAATGTATGATCATGAGCATAAAGCCACCTCTTACATTTTCTCATATTTTCTCTTTAGGTGAGCAATGCAGGGGTTCAGTCATACAGAAACAACAATATCCAGAGATCCATGGTCATACCAAGAAATGCAGCAGTTACTCATTATCGCAATGATATTGAGCAAGGTGTTCAAACATATGGATGTGTAATCATGAAGAACGGCCAGCCTGTGTTCACTGAAGAAATCAGGATTTATTCAGCTTGAAAAATAAGGGGTAAAATGTAATGCAAATAACGTCTTTCAGGGTCTTGAACAATCAGTTCACTCACCGGCCATATTTGCAACGCTTACAGGCAGCTATTTCACTCATGCAAGGCCAGCTATTGGAAAAGAAAATTTTAAATTCTCACTGATTTTGCTTTACAAACTAACATTTAAATGGCACATTTCAAAATGTTGCTGTTTCATATCTTAAGAAGTGTGTTAATATGTGAAATTGTGATGATTACTTCACCTAAATCAGATGAGGATACTGTTTACTGTCTATTTGTCTTACTCTTCTGTAATTTGTTATGGCTATTTCATAAATGTATGTACCACAAATGTACCAAATTATTTGCAGTTTATTGTCAGTTATTTCTTTTGTCAATAAACTGAGTTGGAATGCATATAGTGATCCGAATGCATAATTCAATGCACATACTGTATTTTAATTTTAAACTTCTATATTTGAATCCATAGTTTTATCTGGATATCTTGACTTGAGTTTAAAGGGGGCATGACACACAGTTTCACCCAATCTCATCTTGAGTACCTATAGAGTCGTACTGCATCCTTCATATCTCCAAAAAGTCTTTAGTTTGATCATATTTATAAAAGAAAGATACAACTTTACGATTCTCTCTGGAAAAATCCGAGCTCCTGGAGGTCCGCCATGGGTGGAGCTAAAGAGTGACAAGCACTTGGGCGCCGAATGCCAACAAAACAGACATTTGATGCCGTTTCACTTCCCGTCTGCAGTTCTGAATCATGAACGGGATCTTTTATAGCTGGGACCACTCCATCTTTACTTCTCAACTTTTTTTATTAACAAAACCAAACCAAACATTTTCCCAAAGCAAAGAAAAATCTTTATCAATATTCGCCTGGAGGTCCGCCATGGGTGGAGCTAAAGAGTGACAAGCACTTGGGCGCCGAATGCCAACAAAACAGACATTTGATGCCGTTTCACTTCCCGTCTGCAGTTCTGAATCATGAACGGGATCTTTTATAGCTGGGACCGCTCCATCTTTACTTCTCAACTTTTTTTATTAACAAAACCAAACCAAACATTTTCCCAAAGCAAAGAAAAATCTTTATCAATATTCTCAATAACAAATAAAGAGAGGTTTTTCCATAACAATTTCATAGCTGGATTCCTTTATCCATATTAGGGATTTCCTGGAGCGTCATGAGTTCTGTTACTTCTGTGATGCATTTGTGGAGTTTCCGCGCGAGGGCACCGTCCGGCTGCCAGTAAGAATGAAACATTACATGTGTTTAGGGCTTAATGTCCACTCTGTCCTATTTTGGGCATACATAGGAAAAATGAAATGTGAAGTAAACATGATAATCCATGTTTTTCTCATGGATTGAGATTTCTCATGTGTATTGTACAGGAGTTGTTTTAACCAGTTTGTTTTAACCAGATTCTTTTACCCAAATTGTGAAGCCCTAAACCAAACCTGTCAGAGCCTCATGTAAGCGGTTGTTCAGAATTCAATATAATTGCTTGCCATAATGCAGCCATTTGTCACACAGTATTTTTTGAGAAAAATTTTAGTTACTTACTTAAATAAAAAATAACATTTTATTATTGCGATGCTAAATTTGTTGCTATTTTGCACTTTGACTTTTGACAGTCTGAATATTGTGTGTAATAAAAAATAAGTCTTTGACATCATAATTGTATTGCATTGTTGTTTTAAATACCAAATATTTCACTTAAAACATTCCTCATGAACGCTTATTCAGTTATTTTAATATACTGTACGTCGCTGTGAAAAAAGTAGTTTCAATGTAACTTTTTGGTAGTAACTTGTAGTGTAGCTAGCTACTTTTTGACTGTAGCTTAACTGCTTTAACTTATGAGTAGCTTGTAGCTTATTAAGCTACAGTTTCAAAGTAGCTTCCCCAACACTGCTGTTTTGTATCTTTGCAAGATTTCTTGCCTAATTTAATAATTAATTGTCTTAATTTGTGCACGAACAAGCACCTGTGAGGCGACCTGTGGTAAAATCTGAGAATAGTATCTATCCTTATAGTAGGCCTAGTTTTTTAATTTGTCATGTAAATACCACAAACTGCACAATGTTTTGAATATTTTTTGTTGGTGGAATAGAGCAAAAACTGTTTGAAAATTGTAAATTAATGCAATTAATTTCTTATTTAACTATTTGTATAAATTGTCCACTTTTATAGTCATTGAGAACGCACACAAATAGTGTCTTGAGTCTTTTTTTTATCAATATTTGTGTCATTGTTTGTTTGTGTTTTATCTGAAGTACATTTACAGCATTATATTTGAGAGTTGCAGAGCAAGTAATTATTTTTATGCATTTTGTTAAAATTTAACCTGAAGAAATCCTGATGTTAACATACACCCAAAAGTGATCAGAAACTCCACCCTTACAACACTTACCAGGAAGAGACTGGCTTATTATTTCTGTCGTACAGACTCTCTTCTCTCTCAACATAAGCAAAAAGAATCAATGGAAAAAGGAAGAGAAACTCTTTAAAGAAGGATTTTTGAGAAGTGTGTTTGTGAACAGACGGCAGATCTTTGTGATACTCATGATTAATAATTTTTTAATCCATCGATCAGAAAGTGAAAGTAAAGTTTAGATCGCTTGAGCTCAAACAGGAAAAATGGCTTCACTATCTGAAGAT